GATGGGGGTTGGGTGTGTGGTGGGGGGCTGTGGCCAGAGGGCGGGAGTGCAGGAGGGAGGGTAGGGGTTGGGAGAGCTGAGGATAGGATTAACCCTCTGCAGCCGGCGAGCCTGGCTCGATTTCATTCCTAGTAAAGGCGAAAGGGGGGATGGGGCCTGGTTTGGCTCCATTATTGTGTTTGTAATTTCAAGTTAGGGGGACGAGCTGTCCCCTTTTTAAAGGGACAGTCCCGTACTGAAGCAGGTGTCTCAACTTGAAAAAATTGGGCAAGTTGTCCCGTATTTTCTGACTCTCCTCTCCCATCGGCACTGGTGGGTCCTGCTGCTGGCCAGATACTTGCTCACCAGATGCCCACCCACCAGTGTGCGGGGGGAGGGAGAAGGGGTGTCCAGTGACTGATGATGGAGTTGGCAGTACAAGGCTGGAGGTTGGATGGGTCCCTGCTCCCCACCAGCTGTTTTCCAGCAGGCTAACCCTTCCCTCTGCCCTGTCTCCGGCCAGCTCTGGCTGTCAGCTGCAGGGGCTGGTGACGTATCACCTCTGTGCCCACCTGTCTGCGCCCCTGTCACTGTCCTCCCCCTGCTGTGCCAGGTAACCCCCCTGCTGCCCTGTTGTACCTCCATACCTCCGGTGGGGTGCGCCCCACCCCCAGTTCTGTGTGAGGAACCAGCCCCGGTCGGATCCCTCACTCCCCAACAGCCTGGCTGGCCGGCTCCTTCCTCCCCCTACTGCCTGTAGCTGGGCTGGCCTCCAGGGACAGCTCAAGATGCTCTGGCCTGGGGCCATGGCCAGGAGGATCCAAGCCCTGTATGTGTCAAAGCCCCATACAGCCCTGACAGGGGGGAGCTTCCCCGCCCCCAGCTAAGCCCAGCAGTGGCCGGGAGGAAGCTATTTCCAGCCTGTTGGTGCCCCGTCCCTCCACGTGCCCGGCTTCTCACTATCCCCAGGGAGTGGGGGGCTGCTCTGTCCCCCAGACCCCCTCCTCTGCTGAGCCACCTCTCTGGCCAGGTCCCCTGAAGCCCCGGCAGCCACGTTCCAAGCTTTCTTCTGCTCAGCGCAGCCTTAGGGCTTAACCCCTTCCTGCCAGGGCTGGAGCCAGAGGACAGGCGGTTGCTGGGTTATGCCGGTGGCCAGCGGCAGCCTGGAGGTGTGAGCTGCCTTTCGGCGCTGTGCGGGCAGGAAGGGACAAGCTGCTGCCAGCCACAGAGGAGATGGGGTGGGAGGAGGGAGGGAAAGGATGACCTCTGGAAAAACACAGGGCAGGACACCCCTAATTGCATCTGCACCCCTTTTGGGCTAAGAGCAGCCCATCCCTTTCCTCCCGCACAGTGTCGAAAGACTGCTGCTGGCCGCATTGTGCTGTGAACCCCACTACAAGTCTGGGGAAGGGGAGGGGGGCTGTGACTTTACATGCCCCTCACATGTTGCCTTGGGAAGAATCAGCACCAGATACCAGGAGAGGTGGGTCTGTCCTGGGGGCTAAGCCAGGTCTGGAGGGTGGAGGATATTGGGTAGGAAGGTTTCGGTCAGGTGAGTCGGTCACACCATAGAATCATAGAATCATAGACTCATAGGACTGGAAGGGACCTCAAGAGGTCATCGAGTCCAGCCCCCCACCCTCAAGGCAGGACCAAGCTCCGTCTACACCATCCCTGACAGATGTCTATCTAACCTGTTCTTAAATATCTCCAGAGAGGGAGATTCCACCACCTCCCTTGGCAATTTATTCCAATATTTGACCACCCTGACAGTTAGGAATTTTTTCCTAATGTCCAATCTAAACCTCCCCTGCTGCACTTTAAGCCCATTACTCCTTGTCCTGTCCGCAGAAACCAAGAGGAACAAATTTTCGCCTTCCTCCTTGTGACACCCTTTTAGATATTTGAAAACCGCTATCATGTCCCCCCTTCATCTTCTTTTTTCCAAACTAAACAAGCCCAGTTCATGAAGCCTGGCTTCATAGGTCATGTTCTCTAGACCTTTCATCATTCTTGTCGCTCTTCTCTGTACCCTTTCCAATTTCTCCACATCTTTCTTGAAATGTGGCGCCCAGAACTGGACACAGTGCTCCAGCTGAGGCCTAACTAGTGCAGAGTAGAGCGTGTGAGAGTGCCGTACGGGCGTGTGTGTGTCTCTCCAGCTATGCAATTTTTTATTTTTAACAGGGGCTCCCTCAACTGGATGTTGATTTAAATGTTTGTACTGCACGGCAAAGAATGATAGTCCTGGAACGCGCTTGAATGTGCGTAATTGTCCTAGGCGTCCCCTGTTCAGAATAGGGAAATACGGTCTCCTTAATCATTTATTATCATTATTGTTATGTGGAGACCTTCAGAGGCCCTGCTCCACTTCAGGGCCCCTTCGGCTGGGCCCTTCACACACACGGAAGGAGAAACAGCCCCTGCTCCAAGGAGCTGGGTGGTTGTGAGACAGCTACAATGCTCAGCCCTGCCCTGGCTCTTAGAACTATACCCTGGAACTTTGAGAATCATTGGCTGTGTCTACATTGGCACCCTTTTCCGGAAAAGGGATGCTAATGAGACACTTCGGAATTGCAAATGCCGCGGGAGATTTAAATATCTCCCATGGCATTTGCATGAACATAACTGCCGCTTTTTTCCGGCTCGGGGGTTTGCCGGAGAAAAGCACCAGTCTAGATGGGATCTTGCAGAAAATAAGCCCTTTTCCGGAAGATCCCTTATTCCTACTTGAAAGTAGGATAAGGATAAGGGATTCCTTGAAAGTAGGAATAAGGAATCTTCCGGAAAAGGGTTTATTTTCCACAAGATCCCGTCTAGACTGGCGCTTAAATTCCCCGTGGCATTTATGTAGACACAGCCTTTGGGAATCATTTAGAAAGGGATACTTACTCAGACAGGAAATATGTTAATTCTTTATAAATGCACAACATGCCCACATATTGAATACTGAGTACAGAGCTGGTACACGATCTCAAAAAATTATATCTATATCTATATCTATAGATATATAGATATATAGGAATTTGAACGATACAGAGAAAGAGAAAGTCCCCTTTGTCCCTTTACCTTTGGGATTTTCAGCGTGGGAAAGAGATGACTAAGCGGGAATCGGACACAAGTCCATACAATCATGAATTGCACAGAAAAAAATCAATAAGGAAATGTTATTTACTCCTTCACATAACCCAAGAACGAAGGGTCACCCAATGAAATGGATCCACAGCATATTAAAAACAAAGAAAGAAGTGTTCTTGAAGTCAACCTCTGGAACTTGTGACAGACCATGTTGTGAAGGCCAAACTGTAATGCAGATCCAATAAAAACAAGAGAAGTTGGCAGAGGATAGGAACATCAATAACTATTAGCCGGGAAGGGCAGGGATAGGAGTGGGCAATACATCGTTAATCACTTGATAATGGTCATGTACTGTCCATTCTCTCCGAAGCACATGGCATTAGCAACTGTTGGAAGAAAGAGTAAAGGGTTGGGTGGACCATTGGCCTCATGGACGTTCCAAAGTTCTTATGTAGACCCCAGATGTTTCTGCTTCCTCACTGGGACCCACTACACACCTCTCTCCCCCCAGGAGCTGAGACAGGACCCTGGAATCCTGACATGGTCTCTCCCTCTCTCTCTTCAAAGTTAGTAACAAAGCGGGAATATACATTAAAATTGTTAACGTAAGAAACGTCCTTTACGTGAATTGCCACATCATATCAAAACACGTCAGCATTAGAGCTCGGTTTGCTTAATATTGATTTAATTTGCTTTCTTGCGCATAGGGATTAGATACAATGCTCCTGTCAGCCAACTGATAAGTTATCTCCCCAAAAGATAGCATATTCAAGATCCTAAATAACCCCTGGAGTTACAGTTAAAGCTCTAAACTTTACCAAAATATGAAATGGCTCTCTTGCACCTCTGGGTGGGAGGTGGGAGGAGGAAATGACCCAGTGAATGAGACGCTGAGAAGAACGAAGCAAGAAACTGAGGCAGGAATTGAGTGGAAGAGGCAGAGTGTTGTCTTGACAAGAGGATGGGTAAGGGTGAGTCTGGGGGGTCCTGTAAAAAGCAATGAGAGAATCCAGCTAGACGTTTATTGACTGATATCTCAGTTAGTCATTCCGTAAGATGAGGAAACGGTCCAGTGGCCGAGTGACTGTCCAGTCAGTGATGCAATGGGCCCAGCAGCATGTCACCAGCCAGCTCTGCTCACAGCTCAGTCTGACAGCAGCTGGAGAAAACTTTTAGATCTGCTTATGAGTAAGGAGCCGGAGGAGCCTGTCCCGGATCTGCTTAGTCCTCACTCCGTAGATGATGGGGTTCAGCATGGGGGGCACCAGGAGGTTGATGTTGGCCATGAGAATGTGGAAATGGAGGGGCACATTCTGCCGAAAGCGGTGTGTGAGGAAGGAGAAGAGAGCTGGAATATAAAAGGTTAAAATGACACAAAGGTGGGAGCCGCAGGTCCCAAAGGTCTTGAGCCGGGCGTCCTTTGTAGGGAGGCTGAGAATGGCCTTGAGGATTTGGCTATAGGACACAGCAATTAAAAACACATCCGTACTGATCACTAAGATTATCACAAAGAGGCCATAGTATGAACTGACACGGGTGTCGGCACAGGCCAGGTTCACCACGGCCATGTGCTCACAGTACGAATGGGGGATGATATCGGTTTTGCAATATGGCCACTGCCCTGCCAGGAGGACACAGGGCAAAACTAGCATGCCACTGCGTAGAACCACAGCCACTGCCCTGCCAGGAGGACACAGGGTAAAACTAGCACGCCACTGCGTAGAATCACGGCCAGGCCAATCTTGGCCACAACGAGGTTTGTGAGGATGGTGGAATGTCTCAGTGGATGGCAGATGGCCACGTAACGATCCAACGCCATAGCCACGAAAATCCCAGACTCCACCACAGAGAAGCAGTGAAAGAAGAACATCTGGGTGAGGCAGGCGCTGAAATCGATCTCCCTGGAATTGAACCAGAAGATGCTCAGCGTTTTGGGCAGGATTGATGTAGACAGGACCAGGTCCGTGATGGCCAACATGCAGAGGAAATAGTACATGGGCTCGTGGAGGCTCGGCTCCTTCTTCACAACGAACACGATGACAGAGTTCCCCAAGAGGGCTATGGCGTACATGGCACAGAAGGGGATGGAGATCCAGATATGGTCCCCCTCCAGGCCAGGGATGCCCAGCAGGATGAAGATGGAGGGGTTGGTGAAGGTTGTGTTGGAGTCTGTCATGATATGGGGGAGAACGTGTCCAAGTCTGTGACAGAACGCCGTCTTCTACGTGCACCGTAACATCCCCCTTACTTCCTGTATGCGCCCAGAGTATCGGATGCCGTTCATATGCCTGGTTGGAGAGAGAAAGTTAACATGAGGTGTTATATGCACTACTGGAGGCTGTTCTCATGAACGACGTGTATTGATCACTCTTCATACATCGAAAACTAACAATTTCGATATTAAGATAAATGAATTATGAACACCTGACCCCACTATTGCGAGTTCCATCTGTGTCGGTGCTCCGTGCATCACTAATTCTGCACATTGTGTTGTGGGAAACTTTCCTAGGCACCAACCAGATACACAAGTGTGGGTACGGATTGTCCTGCATTGTCTGTTAATGCAATGAAATACAGGCGACAGAGTCCATGTTCTAGGGAGTTCCCCATTCGCCCCTGTGCTCAAAATCTGAGTGGGAAAAAACCAAAGCATACCAGTGGAAACACTCCAGCTGGAACATGTCAGGGAAAATTCTTGTGTGTCATCAATAGAAGCTCCATTGGCCAAAACAAAGGCAATTGTCACATTTCTAAGGAACGGGATGGAGAATTGCCTTCTCAGTTTGGATCACCCAGTCCCTCTCTAAGGGACAAAGCAGACTAAAGAGGGATTTCTGAGACAGGCTCTGAGAATGGATGTCATATGGTTACATAAGAATGGCCAGACTGGGTCAGACCAAAGGTCCATCTAGCCAGTGTCCTGTCTGCTGCTGGGGGCCAATACAAGATACACCAGAGGGAGGGATCACAACAAGTAATACTCACATGATCCCTCCCCTGGCTAATAACCATGGAGAAGTAATCCTCACATGATCCCTCCCCTAGCTAATAACCATGGAGGGACTTAACATCCATGAATCTATCCAGCTCTTTTTTGAACCCTGTTAAAGTCCTAGTCTTCACTACATCCTCTGGCAAGGAGTTCCACAGGTTGACTGTGCACTGAGTGAAGAAAAACGTCCTTTTGTTTGTTTTAAACCTGCTGCCTATTCATTTCATATGGGGACCCCTTATTTTTATATTGTGGGAGAGGAGACGAAGGGGGGATAGGACTGAGGTCTATAAAATCATGACTGGTGTGGAAAAAGTGAATAAGGAAAAATGATTTACTTCTTCCCTCAATAAAAGGCAATGGCCATTCTTATGGTCTTATGTTAAGCACTAAACATTGGCTGTTATCAACATGGATCAGGGATGTTAAAAATCATCGGGAGACGAGCCCTATTTGGCAGGGCTCCGTGGTCTCAAACAAATCCTAGGAAAGCTTGGGACCGATTCCTTGAGGCAGAAAGGAAATGTGCCAGGGTTCCAGACAAAGTCAATGGGTTTAAGGAACAGGTTCACTCGGAAAAGAAGCAGCATGAAATCCAGTCACTCCTCACATCCAGTCATCCCGGCTCCCTGCGTCTGTCAGCAGGTGGCTGAGCGATCAGAGAACACACCTGTTGCAATGGTGCAATGTTCTATTATAAGATTATTTGGCTCGCCCTGTTTGGCTTGCCTGGCGCTGACAGGGAAGAGGGCTGGGGTATGGGGGATCACTCTACTCTGTCTGCATGGCATTGCAACAAGGGATTGGGTAAGCCACTGACCCCTCTCCCTTGTAGGGTGGGGAGGAGGATGGGTGGGGGGCAGAAATGGGCAAGCCCCCACTCTCTGACCCACCGAGTCCCTGCCTCAGCCAAGCTCCACAATCATCCTTGGTGAGTAAAATATTCAATGGCTGTGTCTAGACTGCATCCCTTTTCCGTAAAAGGGATGCAAATTAGACACATCGCAATTGCAAATGAAGCGGGGATTTAAATCCCCCCTGCTTCATTAGCATAAAAATGGCTGCCGCTGCTTTCTGGCTTGGAGCTTTGCCGGAAAAAAGCGCCAGTCTAGACGTGGATCTTTCGGAAAATAAAGCCTTTTCCAAAAGATCCCTTATGCCTTATCCTAAAATATGCAGTTCTTGCATGCGGTTCTTGCATGTAACATTCCTAAAGCTAGCTTGTTTCTCCTTGGTTTATATTGATACAATATTTAAAAAAGGAAAATCTGTGTATGTGCTAGGAACAGATCAAGTCCCTTCCTCCTGCATTAACCTTTTCACATAACTCCTTTCCTTGTGTTTTCTGTTCAACTTGCCAGTTATCTGCACTGGATGCTTGATTTTGCGCAAGAGCACTGACGTTCTATTGTCCAAAATCAGTGCTTGCACAAATACTCTGACGCTCCCGTTCAGGAAAAAGCCCTCTTGCACAAATGTTTGTGCGCAAGAGGGCCAGTGTAGACTGGCACCTTAATTCTTTGCACAAGAAAGCCTGATGGCTAAAATGGCCATCGGAGCTTTCTTGCGCAAAACCGCGTCTCTACTGGGCACAGATGCTTTTGCGCAAAAACACGTTTTGCGCAAAAGCATCCGTGCCAATCTAGACGCTCTTTTGCAGAAATATTTTTAACGGAAAAACTTTTCCGTTAAAAGTATTTCCGCAAAATCATGCCAGTCTAGACGGAGCCTTACAGCCTTTGCCAAGGTGCATTTTGATGTTGAAAATTAAACTGTTCCAGGGAGAGGATACAGCACCTATGCGCTTTCCGGCAGATAAAGTTCAGGAAACTGACTAACACACATGAAATGGATAAGGAAGAGGTGGCCGTCTCTATGCATCAAGCCACAGCTGTGCCACTTAAAGGCAGCTACCTGAGGACTGGAGGCCGTCAGCCAAGGTAGAGGGGTGCACAGAAATGAGACATTTTTGCCCCGTGTCACTGGAGCAAACTCATCCCCAGTGGCAAGTGCCCTGAGATGTTTAATGGCCATGCAGAGCAGAAAGAGGGACAGACTGAGGCTCTTATCACACCTACATGGTCAAGCAGGGAAGCTCCTCAGCCAGAGACAGGTACCTGTGAATTCTGAGAGGGACGTGTCTTCCCTGGGACTCCCCTCAGGCAGCGGCGCCCCACACCTCTCTCAGCCCAGCACCGGCAGTAGAATCCCACAGCTGAAGTCAACTCAGGGGGGTGCACCTTCTCTAATATAGCTCCGTGCAGTCCCAGAGGGGTCCACTCATCGTCTAGTGGGGAAGCAGCCTTTGGATGTAAACAGGTGGGAGACGAACGTGTCTCGGCTGCTGGACTGTTTGTCCAGCTTTAGGAGTAAACAGCAATTAAGGGCCCTTCCCAAAGGGCGGGGAGAACGCTTGAGCTCTGGGCTGAGTCAGGGAGGAATTGGCTGCACTGTGCGCGTGTGTGTATTTCACAATTACAGCTGATGAGGATGAACACTGTGGATGATGCCTAGAGATTCATAGGGACCGAGCCCTTGGGAATGCCCAGGAGGAATCAGTAGATAAAAGACAGACAGATCTGGATAGAAATGACTGACAGGAGCCACCAACGCTTTCTGCAGGCACACAGCCCCGTGGCTATTGGATCAGAGATCAGTCATTCTCATCATTAACGACCATCCTCCAGGGCAGTACCGTTCATTGAAGGACGTTGAAATCCCATAGCAAAGGACAGTGATGTTGAACATATCCCCATTATACAGAGTGGTAAACTGAGGCACGGAGCGACAGAATTGGTCGGGGTCCCATAGAGAATGGAGGGCAGGGTGACCGATTGCAGGTGTTCATGTAGGGAAGGTGTTTAATTTGGCACTGTGCCATATGTTGATTGACATAGAACTGTATCAAATGCAGAAACAATCAACACGGCGCCTATTGAATGGATTAGAAACTGGCTAAAAAAACAAGTCTCTAAATGCAAGTGTAATGAGGGAAGAAATCTTCATCAAAAGGGGGTTCATTTCGAGAGGGGTCATGGAGGAATCAATTTCAGCTCTAAAGTATTTAACATGTTTACCAAGTACCTGAAAGAAAACATAGAATCATCATTAATAATGTCTTCAGATAACAAAAAAACTGGGGGGAGTGGGAAATAACAAAGTCAGGCCACCGATATAGAGCGAGATCCTTGCTTTGTGCACTGGGCACAAGCAAACAATATGGCCTGGTCTATACTAGAGCGGAAAGTTGACTTGAGAAATGCTCCTTCAGCTACTGTTGGAGTCGATGTGTCTTACGTCATGTTTCTGCATCATCCCCACAGTGGGAGGTTGACTGGATTCCCTTACTCCTTGTGAGGAGCAGGAGTACTGGCGCTGACAAGGCGCCCTCTGAGTGTGATTGAGCGGGTCTTCACTAGACCCACAAAATCAAACCCCAGAAGATCAACCGCAAGAGCATCGATCTTCTGCATAGCATAGACATGGCCTATGTATTTCAATAGAAAAAGCCCACGAGTCCCTAGCTATCAATCCTTTGCTTTGTGTCTCTCAGACCTGGCTAGTTCGGGCCCTGTAGCAGGGCAGAGGCCTAGAGATCTCTCCCCGATGGTTTCTCTAGTGAGGGGATCTCCTCTAATTTCAGCGAGGCTGCACCCGCTTACACCAGCTGAGTATTTGGCCCAATTCCTTTGACTACAGAAGAAACATTAGCAGAGATCAGGGAGTTGGGAGGGCGGGAGTACGAGCCTGCCATGGATTGGCTGGGTGATCTTAGGCACCGCCCCTCCATGCATTAAATCAGGGGTGGCCAACCCACGGCTTGCGAGCTGCATGCGGCTCTTCACCCCTGAAAGTGTGGCTCGTGAAGGCTCTCCCACAGCTCGCAAAGTCTCCCCACACATCCCTACAAACAGCCCCCAGTTCCCTGTGCTCACTGGGTGCAGGGGAGCCATCCAGTGTGGCAAAATGGTGTTGGCAACTTGGCGTCAGCCAGGTGGCGCTTGATGTGGCCAAAAACCCCGTGGTTTTTAAAGGGGCAACGTCCTTTTTTTTTCTTTTTTTTGCTCAACAATTTTCGTGTGGCTCTTCATATTTTTTTCCGAAGCTGTTTCGGCTCTTTTTGTTTAATGGGTTGGCCATCCCTGCATTAAATGGAGATTATTACTTGTGATTTCAAGTGGGCT